TTATGTGCTGATTGCAGATAGTTGCATTGAATAGTGGTTTTGTGGCTATTTATTGCATCGTTAATGTGCCTGATGTTCTGGAGCCCTGCCTGTGAGGTTTTGGTGACGTGTGCGCACTGTCCGCCGGTCAGCCAAACTTCGGCTTACACCGGCTGCGCTCCCCCTGCGCTGACAGTAGACCTGGTTTCACCTTCGGTGAAGCCTTTTGGCACGAAACTGTCACTGCGCCAAGCTGGATCTGTCGACACCTCCCCCTGCTGCGCCGCCAAACCCATCTCAGCGCACCTCGGTCTGCCAAACTACCAAACTGAGCACGCCTCAGGTTGCGCTGCTCGAAACTAGCTCTGCGCGAGATTCACCACCCTGCGCTGCCCCGGGAAACTAGAGCCCTTTGACTTATTTCCACCCAGCCGACAGTGGGACTTATATTCATTGTGCCGACAGTGGCTTGGAAAACCGCCCATAACCGTGTCACACGGGGAAAAGGGTAGGCGGCTGGAGTTCCTCCAACATTTGCGGTTAGATTATCATATATTTTTATTGACAAAAATATAGGCTGCTTCAGCTGGTTTTTTTTATGCGCACATGTGCCCCTAAATATTTTTTACAGTTCACACACACGCATTTTTAGTCGAGTGAGACGCTCGCACTGATCTGACAGCCTGAGCACATCGGCACAAAACGCTACGGTGTTCGAGATATTATTTATATCATGAGAAGTCAATACTTTCGGCAGCCTAAATCTTTTATTTAGAAATTATGGCAGGTCAAATTAAACTATGGCGGGCCGCCATAGTTTCGTTAATTAATGGGAAACACTGGGCATATGCACACACTTCATACAGTTACCCAGTGTTTCCCATACAGTGATTTATTTATCTCCTGCTGTCTCTCTATGTCTGTTTACACAAATGGGACAAAATTTAGCTAGCTAGCCAACTTGGCCGTCACTGACCATTTTAAGCATTTTTCTGTTGTTATAGCGCCACCCAGGTGCCAATTAGAGTTAAATTTCTCCAGTCACCTTGAGGCGTCCTGTTCTACATATCTACCAAGTTTAGTAAAAATCGATATGGCGGTTCGGCCTAGATAAGAAATTAGCTCTCTAGCGCCCCCATTTTGTTTGATGGGGTCAATAATGGAGGGGTCCCCTCAGATTATGTGTGGTCATATGCCTACAAAGTTGCGTGGTGATCGGTGAAACCCTTGAGATGTTATACACCTTTATGTGATGAGCCATGCCCTCCGCAATATTCATTGCCTTATAGAAGCTCAGTTTTAGTAAGTTTTTCAAAAAATTCAAAATGGAAGAAAATCTATATAACCGGAAGTTATGGGTTCTTGAGGCAAATTTGTTCCTCATGAGGAGAGGCATCTCTTTGCAAAGTTTCATGTCTCTACGACATACGGGGCATGAGATATGCCCATTCAAAGTTTGCAATTTCAGTCATTTGCTATAGCGCCCATCTTTGGCCAAGTGATGTAATATTGCTTCATTCGCATCCTCCCATGACCCTCTACCACTGTGCCAAATTTCACATGGATTGACCAAGTCAGTGAGGAGAAAAACGTGGAACAGACACACGCACAGACAGACAGACAGACAGTTTTCGTCATTATATAGATAAGATAAGATAAGATAAGATGTATGTGGATGGCATGTATGCAGTTCCTATGCATTTGGCCATAACAAAGTAAAAGACACCCTGAATAAAAGTGCCCACCAAACAGCAAATGAAGCTTTAGCTCTTAAACTGAGTAGCTAGATTAAAAAAAAAAATGCCATAATTGGCATAATTAGCTGAGAATGTAGGAGTTCTGGCAACAGCTGGACTAATTCTAACCCTGTCGTGTCTTCTTTGTCTGTCTTTCTCTCCATCTTGTATTCTTGCTTCCTTTTACACCCACAGACTTTGAGGATCTGTTCGATGACGATGACCTTCAATGATGACGGCATCTGAGCACTTGCGTGTTGCTGTGAACGTGTGCATAAGAAAAATCGTGATATTGGGCTTTTGCTGACTACAAGTTCTCTCTTATTTGTACAGCCCTCTCCTCCTTTATGTCTGTCATCACTGTACTGAAATAAAGACTTTTTGTTTTTACTAAAAGAAAAGCTGTCGTGGTGAACCAGGTGTCTGTGAATTCTGAGAATCTCTTACATTCCAGCTTTAGAGAAAATTATGAGTATGGTTTTGGCGTCGTCGTGTTTGAATCTGCTCCTGGCTGGATTGCAGGTTTGTGGGCTCTGCGAAACACCTGTTAGCAAACTTAATTACACACAAGATACAGTGTTAACATGAGCACTAAATGTTCAGTTGGGGCACGATGGGACAGGAAAGGGGCTGCAAAAAATGTGGAAATGCTAAAAAATACAGAGCAAATAAAGTGTGCAGGTGTAGACTCTACAGGGATCATAAATAGGAAAAACGGAAAAACTGTGACTTTCAGATTAGAATCACTTCTTATGCTCCTTCAGCTATTTGAATTGACTGTTGCGTGAACTTTGGAGTTCAAATGACATTTTAATGTATTTATTTATGACTTTCCCCGAGGTGATGCAGCACATAAACCAGCTGCATGTGCAGGCTTAAAAGATAAGACTAGGGAAAATAGTTTAATGTGTATTTACACCACACATGCACATTAGACTTGTAAATGTATTGCTGAGTTTACCACAATGACAGACAGAGAGAGGGCTGATCAAAGCAGGTGATAACAGAAGAAGCTACAGTCCAGAGCCAAAAGTATGTTTGCCTCATTATTGTAATTATTATCCTCTGATGATTTTCCGCAAGATTTAGGAGCCTGGCTGAAGAGATTTGCACCCATTCAGCGATGAGAGTATTAGTGAGTTCATCCCAAGGTTGTTGGACATGGTTGAGGTGCAGACCAGTCAAGTTCCACCACACCTAACTGGGAAAACTTACTTTATGAAGCTGGCTACGTGCACCAAGTTATTGTAACGTTAATCCTGGAAACAGCCTTCCTCAAACTAGTGCCTCAAAGTTGGAAACACATTGTGTCCTGTAGCACTCATAGAACTTGTCGGGCCTTAAAACATTTTCTCAGCCAGCTTCTTTCTATGAGCAACAGATACCCACATGAACACAAATGATAACTTTTGTTTTTGCCTATGCTCCTCTTACTGGTTTAGAGTGGCTGTGGATTGGTTGGTAAAACTGGTGATATCTGTGCACCAGTCAGAATCTAGCTATATTCGAATCAAGATGAGATTACACACCTGCGTACTCCTGAAGTACTTGAGATATAATAAACTTTTCAAAACTGGTAACTGTTGCTTTTTTAGTCATAAATATTTAATGGCATAGACAAAAACACAAACAATTGCAATTAAGGGGACAAGCCATACACTGTATGAGGGTGGAGCTGATAGAGACTTGTCAATCACAAGGTAGCCTCGCCCTAAAGAATACCCTGCTTTATCCTCTATTTTACTTACAATGGGACCATAATGTGGTGCAGTGGTAGCATTGTTGCCACACAGTAAGAGGGTTCCTGGTTTGAACCTGGATTGGGGGGCTTAAACCCAGGGTGGGGGAGCCTCTAAATTGTCCGTAGGTGTGAATGTAAGTGTGAATGGTTGTCTGTCTCTATGTGTCAGCCCTGTGATAGTCTGGTGACCTGTCCAGGGTGTACCCTGCCTCTCACCCAATGTCAGCTGGGATAGGCTCCAGCCCCCCATGACCCCCAACAGGATAAGCGGTAAGGAAAATTAATGAATGAATGAAATTAATAGGACCATAACGTACAAAATGAATATTATGTTGTATTAAAAAGACTAAAAACTAGTGATTGAAGCCATAAAGGTCATAAATCAAGTGAGAAGTAGGCTCATTTTCTCATCGACTCATAAACATCAGATTTCTTTTTGCAACCACTGGAGTCGCCCCTGGCTGACCATTAGGAAGAATGCATGTTTATGGCACTTTGCATTGGCTTCCCTTTAAAAACCCAGGGATGACCTCTTGGACCAAGCTCAACCTTTAAAGAGCAGCTCCAATATTACACCAAATAGTTTGACTGTCACACAGAAATGTAGTCTCAATGTCTTCCCTATAAGAGCCATTGCTCACATAGTGGCCATTCTCCAAATAAAGTATGTCCAAAAATAATAGAAAAGTGTATCCTCTCTCTAAACTGTACCAAGATAAACTTTAAATCTAATTTTGTCCTCAACAAACATGATTGACTTTGGGTTAAAATCACTTTTGGTGTGGAAAAAGCAGATCTCAATATCTCCATAAATGTAATAAAACCTCTTCAGAAGCCGCCTGGGCAAAAGCCTCATAAGACCACTGAGTGTTATAAAGAAATTATAGGCTTATCCAAGTCAGATGTGCTGATATTGCATCACACATCACAGCTATATGGCTCCTTCAGAGTACCACTAGACGTATGTGTAAGCGTGTGTGTGTGTGTGTTACAAGGCTGGCATGCCTGAACACAGTTAAACTGAGGAGGAAACTGTAGATTATCAAATTCCTCATGTGTAGACCAGCTGTCCCTGTGTGTGTGTGTGTGTGTTCAGGTTTAGACAGAAGCTGTGGTTTGGCCCTCACTAAGGGTCTCTGAGAAGTGCTTATGTGGCACCTCAGCTCCCCTTCATTATTTCCTGATGTTTACTTCTGTCTCTGTTTGTTTTTCTTGCTTTGGAGTGATTGTTGCATCCAAAAGAAGAAGATCCGGAGTTTAGTGTCTGATCTCCAACCCTAAATATGACTCACAGAATTAATTAACAATCATGTTAAATTAAAAAACACCACAGGATACATCTTCTCATACCCCATCTCTCCACGTCTCCATCTCCGCTTCCAGCCCTCCCACCTTCCCTCTTTTCCTGTCTTTAATTACGGTGCCTCCAATTGGCTGAAACTTTCTGAAACATCTAACCAATCGGGCGTCTTGTTGAGGTGGCCCTTGACCCCCTCAGGTGGTCCCTTGCATGTGTTTTTCTGTGCGAGTGCTAATGAACGGGCTTGGTTTAAAACCTTGCCAGACTCGTTCATGAGGGCAGTCTGTCAGAGGGGCCACAGGGACAGGGTGCACCAGGAGCCTTTATCATACGCCCAACACACACACAAACACACACGTTGTGTTTGAGCCCAGGTGGACTGAGTCATCGGGTCCTCAGCTTCGAGTCCGCATCTGGATCTGCAGACAGGCACGCCGATAGGATAACTACAGGTAAGACACTGTGGTGATTCTGCTCTTCTGCACTTTTAGGTACTTAACAGAGACCCAAGTTCAGGTTGAAGTCCAGTTTGAGTGCTGGGCCACACCTGGTTCTGTTTTACGATGACAAAACCAGTAGCTTCAGGAAACCTTGTGGCAACATGTTAGTTTAAAGCCTCCAGATCAGAGTTCACTTCCAAGCTGCAGGGGTCACTTCACCAGCTCTGCAGGTGGAAACTAGCACAGGTCTGGGGTCTCATGTTGTGATTGGGGTAAAAGTTTAACACTGACAGACAACCAAACATCTTTTGGACCCTTGGTCTGAGAAGTTCTGCTTTGAAAATGTAGCCATATATTGAATCAGTGAGAATAGCCTTGGCTGGGTGAACCCTAACCTAAAATGTCTGAACATACACAGCTGTTTATGGAATATGTATGAAATGAAAACCCCCCATTGTGTTAATATTTTAAGATACAAAAATGATGGACCAGGAAGTTTGGGGTCTAAAGCATCCTTTTGAATGTCAGTGTCTTCGGCAGGAGAGGAGGAGGTGAAGCCATGTCTGGAAGGAGGAGAACCAGTTTCTTGGGTGTGTCTGTCACAGCTCTGTTGGCTGTGATTATATTACCTGGTGAGTACACAGTGGGGATCTGACCTAACAAGGTCAGTATGTGAAATATCTGTCACCATCTAGACAGTTACTATGGCAGCATATAGTATCTAGGCTATACATGGTGAGCCAGGGCTGTCTAAATGTTATATAATCACCAGCATTGGAAGAAGCACTCAGATCATTTACTTAAGGAAAAGAAGCAATACCACACTACAAATATCCTCTGTTCCAAGTAAAGTTTTGAAAGTGTTACTAAGTAAAAGCTTGTAAGTTTTATCAGCAAAATTTAATTTGAGCATCAAAAGTAAAAGTTCTCAGTGCAGAAAATGGTAAAGTATTTAATATAATGTCGGGTGGATTAATTTAGGCTGCAGCTAATAATATAAAATGCCCTCAGCAAGTCCAAGATGCCCAAATGTCTTGTTTTGTTCGACCAACACTCCAGCCACCGCCACCCCAAAATCTTTTTTCACATTAGTGAAGCTGAGAGTGGTTGACATTCTTCTTCACGTTAATTAAACAATTACCAGAGTTGTTGCAGATTCATTTTCTGCTGATCGCCTAATTGGTTAATTAATTACTTGTTTCTGTTTAATTTATTTATTTTAAAGATATTTTTTGCCTTTAATTGATAGGACAGTGAAGTGTGAAAGGGGGAGAGAGAGAGGGAGAGACATGCAACAAAGGGCCACAGGCTGGAGTCGAACCCGGGCCACTGCGTCAACAGCCTTATACATGGGGCGCCTGCTCTACCACTAAGCCACCGACACCCCAGTTTAATTTATAACAATGGATAATAATGACTAGGAACAGAGACAACACTAAGTTGTTGCAAACATTTCTCGCCTCTAATATCAACAAAAAAATTAGAAAAATACAGAAAAACATCTTTCAGATTTTAACTCAGCTCAACTCAAACTTTATTTATAGAGGACATTTAAAACAACCAGGGTTGACCAAAGTGCTGTACAGATTAAAAGCAGCACGGATGTTAAAAGTAACCCATACAATGCCGTAACTAAAATAAATACTAAAATACATAAACACAGTGCAATAAAATAGAATAGAATAAAATAGAATAAAACAAATTAAAATTTAATTAAGATTTTGCCAGATGTCCACTTAAGCTCGATTAAAAGCCAGGGAGAAGAGGTGAGTTTTTAAGGAGGATTTAAAAACCTCAATCAATCCTGCAGAGCGGATGTGCCAGGGCAGGTTGTTCCAGAGCCTAGGGGCCGCCACCCCTAGGTGGCTCGGTCACCTTTGGTTTTTAGCCTCATTTTGGGGGTGACCAGTAGCTGCCGATTTGAGGATCTCAGTGTTCTGGCAGGGGCATGAATACGAAAGAGCTCCGTCAAGTACTGGGGGACTAGGCCATTAAGCGCTTTACAAACAAACAATAAAATTTTAAAATCTATTCTGAAAGCAACCGGGAGCCAGTGCAGCTAAACTAGGACAGGGGATATGTGGTCACGTTTACATTGGCCAGTGAGGAGACGGGCAGCTGCATTTTGTACCAGCTGCAGGCGGTGCAAGTGTGAGTGGTCCAGGCCAAAATACAGTGAGTTACAGTAATCCAGTCGTGTGTTAATAAAGGCATGGATTACAGAGATCTTGAGATCTCTACGTGGCAGGTATTTTACTGATTATAATACTAAATGAATGATTAATCAGGTGAGGAATATTCCAAATAACCAGCTGAATCATTTGAGTCCTGATGATCACAGGGATACACTGATGAAAAACATCAGCTATTATCTCCAAATGTTAGCAGAGACACAGCAGTAACTGGTCCTAATTTAGAGCTTTTTTCTTTAAGACAACAAACCACAATCTGATAAAATCCCCAAATTATGATACTTCATTTTAAAAGCTTCTTATGTTATGTGTTTTTTTAAATTAAAAACTCCATTTTGATACATCCAAAAGAATACTTTCACATTATTCAAAAATGATAAGTGATTGGTGATGATAATGGTGCTGATGAAACTCGTCATACCATAAGATGCATGGTGACAAAATCTGTCTGATTATGTGTCATTATTTTAAGTTTTCTTGGACTCAAATCTCAAATCTGTACAGCTCTGAAAACCCAACTGATTGAAAAGCAGAAGAGTACTGGCAGCAAAATGTACTTGAAGTAAAGTACTCATAGGGCAGCATGCAGGCAGTGTAGGCATCATGCTGTAGGTAGTTGATTTAAAGTAAATGTTTACTTTACATCATGCTAATCTATAACAATGCAGGATATTTTACAGGCAGATCATGTTATTTTGTATATAAAACTTTGATCCTCAAACTAACCAGAGGTCTCAAATAAAAAAAGCACAATATTTGCCTTGGGAAATGTACTGGAGTCGAAATATTACGTAGCATAAAATGACAATACTGAAGTCAAATCTCTGCTTGAATAAATTAACTTTGTTACTTTCCTTTAATGGTTTTAGCCAATTTTATTTCTTTATGGTCACCCATAAAATGATTCGCTTAATATTCATGTTTTACAGACTGTATTTTGTTCCTCTGCCTCTTTAAAACTCTTCAGACATAAATTTTATTTGAGTTATAGCTTCACAATCTACATTTCAAGGCTAAAGGGTTAGTTGGACTGCATATAGGGTTCCTGCCCTTCACCAGTTCATGGACACGGACACATGTCACCGCCACACTCACAAAGAGCGACTGTAACTCAACTGTGCTTCATGTATATCATAATGTAGCTCTGTAACATAGCCTGTGGTGTTCATACATCATCTGTAATGTATTGACATTAAGAGAGAGGTTGCTCCTCCACCACCTGTTTCCAGTTTGCTCTCGACGTGACTGGCAGATTTACACCAGGGCAAGTCTCATCTTTCCTTTAAAAATGGTTTTTAAAACGGCAGCGTTTGATGGTTAAAAGGTGGAAAAAGGGAGTAGTAGGAGGAGGAGTTTCTTTCATCAGTCCTGGTCCTGTAAAAAATTAGTACCTGTCAGCATCACCTCCTCCGTCCTCTTAAAGCTCTGCTGTTTCCAGATGTGCCAGCCAGTTTTTTACAGGCTCATAAAAAACAATACAGCGGATACACTGAGACAGCATCATTTAGCCCACCCTCCTCCTCCTCCTCCTCCTCCTCCTCCACATCGCTTCATCACCTCGGGTCACCTTCACCTTCTTTTCCTTAGTCAGTTTCTCTCTGCAAATTCATACCTTTACATGTTCCCCTTCATGTGTCATCTTCCACGCTACAGTGCGCATCCCATCTTCCTGATTACTCCCATCAAAGCTTATCAAAACTCTTTTTTATAAAATCAGGAGATTAATGTTTTTCCTCTGCCGACACGCGTCGCATAACCCTGAATTATCCCCACTGGATCTCTCTTTTAAACCTGTCATCTGTTACCCTCTCTTGTTCTTCCTCCCTCTCCTCTTCCTCTCCTTCTGTGATGCATTAACACCTTTTCCCCGTGGAGATGAAAGCAACCCGGAGCAGAGCTGAATCTGCTGTTCCCTCAGCTGCATGGGGTCAACAATGCACATACGCACACATATATGTGCACACACAGCTCTTTGAAAACACAGCGTGAGGTTTGATGTTACAGGCTCACCTATAAAATCTACAAAGGGCCGCAGTTGCCTCGGGCACAGCCAATTACCCCTGCCCTATTTAATGAATAATATCTGCCTGTAAGTGTTTGAGGTTTAATATCATATACTGTATCATCACTTATATATTGCAGACACATTAAAGGTCAGCATAGACCTTTAAACATATAATAAGCAATTTCCAGGATTTAATCTTGACTCCAGCAGCTTCTCAAATTTTCCACCTGTTTCTGCTTTTCTGTGTGTTTGTAGCATTCTTGTCTGCAGGACCAATTGTGCAAAAGCCAAAAGGAGATGGTAAATATGTGAATTTCTTTACCTTGGTACATATTTGCACATTGCTGTTTGTTCCTAAAAAGTACACAGTAGCAATTTGCAGAGGCTGTAAAGCCATAAAGTTGAAAAATGCATCTGTTTAAGTACTTTCTGATTACAGAGTGACACCCAAATTTATCACTTCACCTTGCTTTAATGTAGTAGCAACACTTAACCCTGAGATATCTAATGTGATGTATCGGCAAGTAAAAACAAACAAGGGCTAAGTGACCCCCAAAATATAGTCTTAAGCCTTGAATATCATGTTATAAACTTTAAAAGTCACTAGAACATCCTTGAACTTGATGTCCAAGTGAGTACAGAAGCCTCAGGGATCAGCTGTGTCTTTCTGCCCTCAGTGGGAGAAAGTATCCGCGAGACGGCGGCTGCTGCAGAGTCACACAGGAGGCTGATCCGCAACCGCAGGAACATCAGCTGGTACAAGCAGCACTCTGACTTCTGGAACTGGTACAAGTACTTCACTGACAACGGCAACCAGGAGGCAGTGAGTGCACACATATCCACAAAAAAGTTTTAAAGTGACAGTAAACCTTATCTTAGTATGAATCATAAACTCTGGTGATTTCCCCTTTCAGCAATGCTACAATGGATTCCAATAAAAACATTTCACAAGTTTTAAAGCTGCTAATCAATATTTATATATTAACAGTAAGTAAGATAATTATATGTAATGTGAAGGATGTCACTTTTACTGATTAAAGTTACAGAGATTTATCATTCTTCTGTTTTAGCATCTTTAAGCTCATTGTTTTGGTTTTTACGGCCCACAACTCTGCTGTTTTGGTTCAGCCTCACTGCTCTCATACCCCTGCCCACCAAACTAGCTCTGGTTCTTGAAACACTTCTATTTAGGACTCTTGGAGCCTGGTGCTAACTAGCATATTGCATGACCCACAATGGAAGTAAACAGTAATAGCAACAGATTGCACTGATCACCTGTGAGCTTTTGTTCTGTTATGACAGATAATTGTTTTTATCCCAAAAAAAGCATGGACCAACTGTTAATGATAAGAAGATGTAGAAAACTATTACATGCAGGACTCTTTTCAACCTGTAGAACATGACACGCCCACTGATGTTGTCACAGCTTGCACATCAGGTCAAGAAAAAAATGTTATTTTTTTGTTCCTGCAGGAAAACAATTTTCTAGGTTCCAAACCAGTTTATTTTAGGTGGAAGTGCTGTAAACAGTTCAAAATTAGGTGCTGCTAGCCTGGTTAGTATGCTGCATTTAAAGGCAATGATTAACCATGATAATGCTAATGCTAATTTTTGCTAGCAAAAGAAGGCCTAAAAACATTTAAAAAAAAAGTATATGTACTGGAATAACTGAATATTTGACACATCAGAGGGTCTTTTATTACAACCAAATGCTGAACAAGACTTTTTTAGGCAACCAATACACTACAGTTAACTTTCACAAACTGAAAACACACTTAAATAGCAACAGCTACGGCTATGCTCTGTAAATCTGGGATTTCGCCATGGTTGGATGACCTAACCAGTGGTAGCGACAAGTGGTAAAGGATGGCACCCACCTGTCACTCAGCAACACCATTAGTTATGCATAACTGTAATCCTTAACAACATTACAAGGGAATAAAATCACTCCTCCATACAGTTGTCATGAATGTTGAAGTTATGCTATAGTAGGCTGACCAAACATCCTCTTTTGCCCGGACATGTCCACTTTTCACGTCCTGTCCGGGGCGTCTGGGGGGTTTTTATAAACTGATGATAATGTCCGGTTTTCCGTGTGTTTGTGTGTGTGTTAGAGTGCGGCACGGGCCGCATATTTCTGTCCGAACCCGAACCGAGCCCGACATTATTTAATGACCAATGCACTGAGTTGTTACGGTTACAGGCTATTTAACAGGCCGGGCGTGCTCAGCGGAGAGGGAGACCTCCGTGTTTGAGACGGGAGCAGGAGGCGGGAGGTCCGACGCTTGTAGCGAGAGGAGAGGGAGAAATAAAACAAAATAAGATAAAATAGGAAAAACCTGTCTCCCTCTTTTATTTTATTTTCAGCGTTTAATCAAGGCGGAGGCGGGCGGCTGGAGGTCCGAGACTTCCAGCAAGGAGAGAGGTAGAAACAAACAGCCAATGTGTCTGTGTGTGTGTTATGTTCAGGTGTTGTCACGTAAATAACAGCGCCCAAGCAACAAACAGGACAGACAATAGGATTTTATTTATTTTTACACTATATTTTCACTGAAAGCTGACCGAATCCGACCCGAGCCCGAATACAGTTTATAGCTAAATTTTTGACAAACCCGGCCCGACCTGTCGGGTACCGTCAGGCTTGGGTCGCCACACTCTAGTGTGTGTATGTGTCCCCTATTGGGGCCTATCTGAATTTCTGTCTTTGAGAGATATTATTTTGTAATATAACTGAATTTTCTATCCATACATATAAATTTTAAATACATTAAAATGATAAGGCATCTTTGAGTAAACTGCGAGTATCATTTAAGTAGGCTATGTCGTGGCCGGCTGAGTGTCCTCTTTTTTGGAAATCAAAATATGGTCACCCTAAGCTATAGAGACCAAAACTGTTTTTTGTACCAGGCTGTAAACATGTTAATTTCTGTTGTAACATGGGGGTCTATTGGGATTGACTTGCTCCTGGAGCCAGCCTCAAGTGGCCATTAAAGGAAGTGCAGTTTTTGGCACTTTCTTGTTGGCTTCATTTTTCAGCTGCAGAGGTTGTCTCATAAACAGCTCACCTCTGAACTCCTTCTCCCCTCACAGATTCAGGAGATGGACCGCATCTACCTGGCCTACCTCCAGAACAAGAACCGTGCTGAGGGACGTCGCTCCTACAAGGCCTACTTGCGACACCTGGGGGAGATCTACAAGTCCTGTGCTGATTCTGATGACCCTAACTGCGTGTCTTCCTCCACCAGCAGGCCCAAACCTAAGCCAGAGGCTCCCAAACCTGCACCAGTGAAAACCTGTGATCCCACCAAGGACCCCTACTGCCTGTATGCTGCTTTGGTCCAAGGCAAGAGCCCCTACCTGCCCCTGGTGCTCCCGGCTGCCGCCCCTGCCCCGGCACCAGTGAAGGCCCCAGCCCCTCTTTACGTCCGCTCTGCTGCTCCAGCAAAGGACCCACAATCTGGATATTACTACTATGCTCCATCTGCAGTGCCTTTCCTTTCCAAGGTATGCTTTCAGATATTTTAGGTATTTTCATATATTTAATATACAAAATTCTGCAATTTACTTAACCTTATGCTGTTGCAGTTTTGTACCTGTACCAGAGACTTGATATCTAAAAACCATCATGTATCGGATTTGCAAATTTTTAACTTTGGTTCCCCCCTGTGGTAAAGAGGACACTGTTGCAGCGTCTCTCCTCCAGTTGAAACAATATGGCAATACTGATAATGAAAGGCAGGAAACAACCTTAACTGCACAGTTTTCAACCTTACTTGTCTTAAAGTTTCTACAAAATCCAAAACATATCCTATCAAAATAAACTCAAACATTATATATCACATAAAAACATCATGCTTCCATCTCTGCCTCTGTTTTTTATACTTTAGGAGCAGAAGGCCGAGCTGTTGCGTATCTGCTCCTCTGATGACGTGGAGTGTCTGCAGTACCACCTGAGAGCAGCCTATGGGTATGCACCCTCTGCTGGACCCCTGCCTTCCTACGCCCACCTGGGCTGTGACCCCAAAAAGGACCCCAGCTGCAAACCTAAACTGGTGCAGAAAGCCCCCTCTGGTCTCTACCTGCAGTACCCCAACTGTGATCCACGGGATCCCCTTTGTGCTCATGCTGCCTCCCTTGTGGTATGCTTTATTTTATTGTAGTTTTAACAGCCTCCCATTGTTTATATTTAATCTGTGTCTGTGCCGTGATTATCATGTTCATGGTGTTTCTAATGTGATGTGTTCCTCCAGGCGCCTCGTGCCCCTAACCCCCCTGCAGCTGCTGGCCCTGGATCCTGCAACCCTCTTTTTGAGGAAGGCTGCAACCCTCTTACTGCCACCAGATTTGCTACTCCCCCAGAGGCGTACAAAAGTGAGGAAAAAGAGGAGGCTGCTGCCATTCGTGCCGCCCCTCCTGCTGCGCAGAATAACGACCCCTATGCCATGTTCAGGGATGCTTATGCTAATGCTAACAGAGTTACTGACCCCTATGCTATGTATCGCCAGGCTAGCGCTCCATCTGCCCCTCCAGCTAATGACCCCTATGCTATGTATCGCCAGGCTAGCGCTCCATCTGCCCCTCAAGCTAATGACCCCTATGCTATGTATCGCCAGGCTAGCGCTCCATCTGCCCCTCCAGCTAATGACCCATATGCCATGCTGCGCCAATTCATGGCCCAAGCTCAAGGTAATGACCCATATGCTCCACGCATGGGGGCTGCTCCACGCATGGAGGCTGCTCCAGAGTTCAACCCCAATGATCCGTTCTCTGCAATCCATGAGGCAGCGTCTGCTATGCATCGCCATGGTCCTCCCACCCCCAGGCAGCAGTTCCCTTTTTCCAATCCCAGTTATGAAGAGCCAGCTCAGGAGGAGCACCACCCTCTGGGCCCCCCAGGAAAAACCAAGGAGGGCTATGACTGCTTCATTGGCTACGATCGTGAATGCTACCCCGTGAAACCCACTGAGCCTCGCTCTGGAGTTCACCGCCGCATCCCCTACTCTGCAGAGGCCTACGAGCCCCACCTGAATGCTGATGGCACCCGAAATGGAGTCTTGGAGCCTTCCAACCCACACTGTGACCCTGAGTACGACCGAGACTGCCGCCTTCGCCGCTACGAGCCTCAGCCCGAGGCTCAGCCTGAGCATCATGCAGAGGAGGACCACAACCAGGGGGCAGCAGAGAGTGAGCACCATGCAGAGCAGGAACAGGAGCAGTACGAGGCAGAGCCCTACCAGAGCGGGCAGGAGGAGCCTCACATGTCCTATCAGCCACTCTCGCAGGGTATGCCCAGCCTGCAGGACATACTGAGGCGCTACGGAGACCAGTACCCTGACCAGGATGATCACAGAGCCTATGCAGATGACTACCGCAAGAAATAAACATGACAACACACACACATGCATGCAGATGGACATGAATACACAGTCCCGTGTGTTCCTGTAGCTTAGCCATTGACCGCCTCATGCAGCGCGCAGAAAGTCCTTCCTGGACCTGATATGGGACATAAGAGAAGTCTATGGACCCAATGAGCAAGTACATGCACGTACATCCACACATAGCTTGCAGCTGTAGGAGCAAGCTCAGAGAGCCGAGGGTCTTCCAGCAATGTTTTCATTTCTTTAGCTAATTTAGACCTGTTGCTCTGGCCTGTTGCTTTCCAGTTTCCACCTCCTCAAACCACTCGAATGTGTAATACCTTCTCAATGCTCAGCTTTGCTTCTGTATCTATGCATCTCACGTTTTTTATTGTTTTGTTGCTTTTTGTCAGTGATGGATTGTGTAAAGTTTTTTTTTTTCATTTTGAATGTTCTAATAAAGAGCTCTAGAAAGCTGTTTTTGCATTTCATTTACTGAATCTTGACATTTTACTCCCACAGATGCAAAGTGAAAACTGACTACTGTATTCTATGCGTGTTTAGATATTAGACTTTTCTGACATATAAAGAAGTTAAAGGGTATTCCAGTTATTTGATATTTCACTTCAATGAAATCTGAGGACTCACAAGTGACAGACTGAAGAGTACAAAGAGTCGACAACCTCAGTGAGCCTGTACTTAGGCACCATACACTGTATATAAAGATGGATGAGGTGACAGCTTCCCAAAAGTAAAGCCAAAACATTTTGATTGTCTCCTCTATGAGCTGATGGGACATGGGCCAACCTAAAAAATTAAGGTAGGCCACACATCAAATAACTTTTTCCTGAAGATGGCCTCTGTCATTTAGGCTGTTCATACCATGTCGATGTATGTCCAAGTGTTCATGCTTCTGATAAGTTTGGTTATAACTAGTTATTTGATGGTATAAAAAGGGGCTAATCGCGGATGGTCGAACAGCGGGAACTCGATACTATGAAGATAGCTTCGCAGACTCTGGCTCCAAATGATGTCACCATTGCAAGATGGCAGCGGCCGTATTTGGGGTATTTTGGCTTCATTTTTGTACGGTGGGAAAGACATGTTATCTGTCTTTATATACAGTCATTGTTGACCACAGCAGCACTTTAAGCTAAATGCGAACATCACAATGACATTGCTAACACTTTGACCCCAAGTAGGCGAAATGTTTACCATGATCACTATCTTAATTAAGCTTGTTAACATGCTCATAATTACATTATAAGGAATGTGGAGTTGATGTGAGGCTGTATTAAATTAGAGGCACGGGCACCTTGTCATTGACCGGCTCTGTAACCTGCCCCTGCTACAGTGGTCAAGCAATGTCATTTGGACAAACTTAAACAACATACACCCATAATGGCAGTCCAAGGTTGGAGTTGTCATTTCTGCATACACTTTGCATGAGTGTAAAAAATAGAAATCCCCAGAAGCTCATGAACAGTTTTGCAGTGGCTGGGTGCAACATCTGCTAATACACAAGGCTGCAATCCATGAAAGTAAAGTCATACTCGCAAAGGTGCACTCCTCTTTTAACTGAATTAGCCATTTATACTAAACAAAATACAAAAGATAAGTAGGTAACCACTGTAGCAAGCACAGGTAACAGTACATTACTCATAGAATGGTGCCCCTTTCCCAACCATAGATGTATAAAGAGAACTGGATGCAACGTTGATGGTGGGACCCTGTTTACTCCTATGAAGTGGCGCATAAAGCTAAAACTGATTATAAAATCTGCATTTTTTACGCATTGCATGGCCCATAAAGCACATGCACTTGAGACTTTTGCCAGCTGAAGAGGCTACTTCCAGTTTAGCACTTTGCTAACTTGAATAAATTAAATTATTCAATTAAGAGGCTTTCCCAGACTTTCCAAATTTTATTGGACTAAATGGATCAAATTCTGATTGTGAAACGAGTCATTTTGTAGGGCTTGTGATGCTCAAAAAAGTGCATCCACTGATATAGTCTCTTGCACTATGTAATTCAATGGGAAAAAGTGTTATGGAGCCACTGGGCATCATGTGACGGATGCAATTGCACTGTCTGGCCAAAAGCAATATTGGCTTCAAAGCATGGCGTACTTCCTGGGGGCCTGGTCCCATCAGCATGACGTACTTTCACATTCCTTATTAGCAATAAACAAAGTAGAGTCTTACTCTTCTAGCTTCATCTTTTACTGAGCTGGTTTTCCCCAGCTCCAAATACACACAGCATGAGGAGCGTCACAGGGAGCAGAGGCTGGACTTTATTGATCCGAGCTCTCAGACACATCAACAGCAGCAGCTATTCAGTGGTCCAGAGGGAAGCTCTCAATGCTTAGATGGTTACAGAAAACTTTTGCTACCTTTAAAAGAATTTTCAGTTGCTGTGGCTTCTTCTCGCAGAAATGTTACTGAAACAAAAACAAGACGTGGTGAAAGGGTGAGGATTTGGTTTGGAGGGTTAAGAAAGATTATGCTTTTTGTTTTTACTGGTGTTACAGTGAGAGGTAAGAAGCACCCAGAAGATGAAATAGTCACTGACGATTGATTAATTGCTAAGGTAGCTTTACATGTATACAGGTTTGGTGCGTTTTACAATACAGCAGGATGTAGAGTTGGAAGCATTTATAAATAAGATATACATTTGTCGGTATTTACCCGATCAGCTTCACTAGAATTGTACTGCAATGTTAGGGGCAAGGAGCATCTGTAGATAGGAGGACTATAACTGAAAGAAATTCAGGCTCAAATGGATTTTAAAAGGTTTTTTGTTCATAAACCTATTACATTAAGTTTAAATAGAAAAAAACTATAAAATAAACACAAAGACAAGTAAGAGGAAGTAGAGTAAGTTAAGTTAAGATTAATATAAGTTTTTTGACGGGGAGTCTTCCACTCCATTATATGAGCTAAAGGTTGTGCAGTCCCAAAAATGCCAACCCAACCTTTTAGGCGGTTGAGATATAGATGTTTAAAAAAGTCAAATCTGACAACTTATGACCTTCTAAACAACGAAAGATAAAAAGTTTGAAAATACTTCAAGATTCTGGGGGGCAACTTTTGTTCAGCTCCTCAAAAAGCTGAACCAGTATGTGCCTCTAGCAGGATGGAAAAAATGCTCCGAAATAGCTGATGAATATGAATAAAATGGTTAAAGCATCAATAATTATAATCCAAAAATAAAAGAAACATTATTCTGTAATTGGCCATTTCTGATGCATGAGTGCTTTTACTTTTCATCTGTCCTCCAAGCAAATAACCATGTTACTCTCAAATCAGTTTATCATGTTTAATGTTGCAATTGTATAAAATGAGTCCAATGCATCAAACCTGTGTCAGTGTATAATCACCATTTTCCCTTATGAAAAACATTGAGTTGGAATAATATGTTTAAATTGTAACAAATCCTTTTCAATCATGTGCACTCAAATCATACGAGTTCCTCGGGACAGGACAGCCAAAGCAAACCGTTCAGCAACACTATGTCACTTCTGTCCCTCCTGTCTCCCTCAACATTGCCCTGGCTTGCACCAAAACTAGGCCAGCATGATGCTTACTACTTACTTTTTGTGAAAAATTTTATTTACTTTACTACTTTACTCATTTATTTACTGTAACTTGTGTACCTCCTGTGGACTTCCCAGCAAGGTCTGTGTTGCAACCATCCCCTACTTATTTTTCCACCCCTGGTTGAAAGGTTTATGTTCGGTGGTTCGGTAATAGGTGTGGCTGCTCCATGAGATGTGGAGTCATTGTTGATACTGTACCATCCTGCCCCTCCCTCACTCTTGCGCTAAGCATAAATGTGCTTACAGACTAAACATGAGCTTTGTAATTACAGTATGTCGTACTCCATTTTCATCCTGAATTTTTTGCCGTCATGTTTTGATTTCTGTTTTTTGTTGTTGTTGTTTTTTTCCCTTGGTTGCCTGCAGAAAACCCCCTCTGAGTTACTGTTTGTTTACTCTGACAAAATTTCCACTGGGAGTGATGTCATGACTACACATTATTGATATCTCCTTTCTGTTCACAGTTCTGGTTATTGTTTGGTTTTTCTCCTTTTTTTTAATCAGATTTCTATCTTGCTCTAGGAGACATTCTGTCTTTATGAAATTAACTGTCTGATAATATCTGAAAATGCACGAATGCCTGCAGTTTATCTTCAAAATATAAAAAGCCTGTGTTCAGTCAGTTTTATTCGAGCAGATTAAATTGCTCCAACTTAACCTCCACTGGAGATCCTCAGTGCCAAACACTGAAGACAGAGTTTCATCTTGACCCTTTTCATGATTCTGTGACTAATGTTGTAACATAATTGACCTATAATTACGTTATTAATCTAATGTCCCTTGTAATATTTTTGTCTTGGTTAAATGGCAATCTGATGCGACCTTATATGTCAAAATGAATCCAATAACAGGGCAGCTGGAGACATACTTGCTTTTCAACCACGTTGCATCGAAAACAGAATTTTTCAGACTGTACTTCATGTACTACCAGAGGATTTCCACTAGAGGGCATACACGAGAGCTCAGACTGTTTAAAACTTTCAGATTTGCACGATGTAAACAAATATGACAACACCTGAGGAGTAGGGATTATCTATATCTGGTCAACCAGCTTAATGATCTGTATCTGTAAATCAACAAAGCAACAAAAAGTTAAGTTAAACATAGAGTAAATACAAGTTACTGGGGACCCAAAAGAAACACACCAGGGAACAAGCACTAGACAGTTTAGAGTGGGACAAAGGTCATTTTGAAAAGATGGGTCTTCAGTTGTTTTTAAAAAATTTCCACACCGTGTTGGAGCCACTGTGTCAAAGGTACAATCACCTTTTGTTTTGGGTCTGGAGCGGAGGACAGTCAGTACTTCCTGTTCAGGAGACCGAAGGGACCGAAGAAAATACTTTGTATTCAGGTGCCTGACCATGGAGGGCTCTATACGTGAGACTGAATATCTTGAAGTGAATCCTTAACCTGATGGCAAGCCAAGGTAAAGAAACTAAAATGGGAGTGATGTGGGTTGACCTGCTGGACCTGGTTAACAGCCTAGCAGCAGCATTCTGGATTATTTGAAGATGGTTCAGGGAGGACACTAAAGCATGGATAATCATCTTTAATTACGATATTTAGTAGTTATTGGAAAACTAATGACAGAACAATCTCAGGATTAAGCTTCAAATAAAAGGCCCCATTTGATCACAAGAGATTCTGTATGGATATTGACACATTTTACCCGGATGATACTCATAAAAAGTACATTATCTGTACCGGATACTCATTTCATCTGAGTGTTCCGCTCAACTCTATTGAGGAGGTTATTATATTGTCAATCTTGATATCACTGTGGATCACGGCATGAAAAGCAACAGCGGTATCATGGTATGGTATCTGTCAAGCACGTGTTGACAATGCCAAGTATGTTACTCCTCAAGCACATAATTGATA